TCTGCCAGACTGTTTGTGCCATTGCACCCCTGTAAAAGCTATCTCTGAACTACACACCTGCCTTTATGAGCAGCTAATGGGCCATGAGGTGCAATTAACCATCCGCCATTATCACCTCTGACAGATGGTCCAGGAAAGTCTTGGATAAACGACTCGAGTGCTCTTCTTCGCAGCGCTGTCATTACAACCAACGGCCTCTTGACAAACATTTGAGCAAACAAATGTAATTGGGCTCAATAAAGGTGTTGCATTACCAAGCTGTAGGCCTAAGCCACTTCCAAAGCCACTTCCATGTGTGTTGTGCTTGTGTGATAAAGATCTGGTCAGTTTGTAGTCATAAATCCACAGATAATCCTTACAATAGTTCAGTTAGCATTACTTAAAGACAAAGAGACTTTCACTTTTTGTTCATAATACATTTGTATTATGTTTTAAAGTCTGCATTAAAACGGCAGTTGTGATAATCATTATGTCAGAATTACCATAAATAATAATGTTTGTAAACTCTCAGTGTGCTTTTTTTTTATTTTATTTTAATTTTTTTAGAGATAATGCACCTTTCTACATTCCCTGCACACACTCAGTGTTTTGAGAGCTGTCTGATACGCCGCTGCCTTCAGGAGCCGGTGAGGACACCGTCATTCATTCTGTTTATTTCTCTAAGCTCTCTTGGTTTCGGTGCCAAGGTATCATGACATCTGTGTGTGTTTGTATCTGTCTGTGTTTACGATTGGGCTGATGTGCTGACACATTTTGAGGTAGAAAATCCAGATATAAAGAGAGGAGAGCGATTGCTCATCCAAGACGTTAAGGGAAGAAAGGATATGAGGACAGTCCTAGCAAGGACATAAATGCTCAAAGCAGAATATCTGCAGATGAAATTTATCATTTGGAAATACAGATAGAGCAGACAGCAATAATACAAATTAAATACATAGAGCTTACTGAACTATTTAGACTATGATACAATGTCCACGGAATAATAAATCACATTTTATGGAGTGTTCATGTAATGAGGTGACCTCAGAATGAGAGGGTGTTCATATTTTATAGATTTAAAACAGACTTTATTCTTTTTAAATGTCTCATAAACACTCTCACGTGTAACTCTATCCGTCTGTTTGCTCTTTTCCCCATCATCATTTATGCAGGAAGGACTAAATTTAAAAGGCTTTGTGATGTAACTTTATAGGATAATAACAGTATCGTCTGTCTGTTTATAGCAGTTGTTCTCCCTGTATTCCTTTTGCCCGCAAAACACCCGAGCAAACTTTCCAGATCACTTGATTATGTTTATATGTTCGGTCTCAGTTCGGTGACATCCCTTCTTGGAGAATGATTCTGGGAAGTTCGGAAATTTGGATTTTTGTTTTAGAAAAGTGTGTGGTTACAATCATCTCTTGTCGATTCATTTGAACACGAAGGTTGAAGGGCAAGATAAATGGATTGTGTTTTCATTCTTATGTGGTGAATGTGGAAGCCAATTTCCACCACATAAGAAAAAAAAATCATGCTTGGTGAATCATAAAAAGTAATAATTATGACATAAACGCCTGGTTTCACAGACAGAGCTTAGATTAAGCCCTTCATAAAGCTTATACCTATATATATATAAAAAAAAAAACATTACTGGTGTGCATCTTGAGACAAAATAATTGCACTGACGTTTTTAAAATACACCACACCGGTGTAAGTTGATTTCAATTAAAACAGATCAAACATGCATTTTAGTCTGGGACTAGTATCTGTGGGGACCATACTAGTCTATACTAAGATAATAAGTCATAAATATGAGATAAAAAGTCAAAATTATGACATGAATGGTCGTGACAATAAAATAACAATATTTTTGTCATCATTTAGAAGAGTTTATCTCATAAATAGGATTTAGTATGTCATTGTTCTGACTTTTTATCTCATACATTATGACTTAGTATCTTATTCAGATTTTGTATGTCTTATGATTTAGCTACCAAAACATGGTATTTTTTTCTTATGTGGTGGAGATGGGCTTAGTTGAACACAACTAAAGTTTTCCATTTATGATCCATTTGGATTGGAAAATTTTGCAAAATTATTTTGTCTGGTAAAAAATTGTAAGACGTTGACGTGATGTGTTTGAAAGCAGCGCCCCCTTGTGAATACAGAAAGCATTGCAGTTTGATGTGTTCGTTAGATTCTATTGGAATTTGGAACATGATTTGTATGAATGCTTGTTGGCCACATCAATGAACAAATATCAGACCTTAAGCAATGAAAGAATAAAATATGAAACTATTAATTTTAAATTTTTATTTCTATCCAAGCACATTCAACTACACAATATCACCAACATGAAAAAAGAATGCCCTTCTTAATCACGTATAATATTTCCCATGGCCAGCATAGGAAACATATCCGAAGCATATCCAGAGATATGTAATTTTATCTCTCTCTCTTAAAGAATAAAGACTTTTTTCAGACTCTGATCACAACAACAATAATAAACTATATAAATTAA